CAAGAAATTGGAGGCTTCCCTACCTGCACCCTTTTGGGCATTGTTTTCTATAAATCTATCCCTTATCATGTAAAATCCATTTTTGAGTAGGTTCCATATATCCCCTTACACTGCTATTTTTCTTGGCAAATTAAGTCACTGAAGAGGTACTAGGCAGCCTGGTCTTCGTAACTTTTGCCACCATATGAGGCAGAGAGAAGGTGTGGAAGAAGGTTAGGGTCAGCCCGCTGGAAAGTTCTCCCTCTACAAAGTGTACAGGCGAGCCCAGGCCTGTGGCTATAAAAACAGAGAGGGAGGAGGAGAGGTGGCCAGCAGCCCGCATCCTGCCTCTGACTCAGGCTCAGTTCTGAGCCCAGGACCCATAGGTAGGAAGGAGGTGAGTGGGGAAAAAGGTGGCTCCATGCTCTCTCATCCTTCCTCCCGCCTCCCTCCAGAACTCTAAGCATTGGTCAGGGAACACACCCCTTGCCCGCCTCCCTCACCACCCTCAGCCTCCTATACGGTTTGGGATGTTTGCTGAACTGTTACCTTGTGCAGTTAACTTCTCATTCTATGCAGGCATACCTCGGAGATACTGCGGGCCCAGTTCCAGCCCACCAAAATAAAGTGAGTATCCCCATAAAGCAAGCTGTAATCTTGCTGGTGGAGGTCTTGCCTTCAGTTTACACAGAAATGCAGCATCTGTGAAGAGCAATAAAGTGAAGTGCAGTAAAACGAGGTCTGCCTGTGGTGTCTGTCACATGTCATCCTTGTTCTCAAGGTAAAAACCAACAGTACTTGAATGAATGGACACACCTCGAAGGCTCCTGCAGGGGAGCTGGGCCCTTGGGAGGTGTGTCCATACACTAACAACACCCAGAAGCAATTTAGAAAGCTGCAATCAATAGTTGGGTTAGTTTCTACTTTCTACCCTGAACGTTTGCACTGTACGTTGGAATAACCCTGCAAAGAACATTCGTGAACTATCCCGTGATTTCAAATTAAAAAAAAAAAAAAATGTTTGGGCATGGCAAATTCCAGGGAGTCACAATCGAAGAAAGAGGTCCCACATATTCAGCTCCCGGCTGAACAAATTAAATTCATGGCTGATTCTGTATCATTTATACTCCACCCAGTTATTACCCCGCTGCCACCACCATGCTTATTTTGAAGCCAACAAAACTTGTCATGGTGTTTTATTTCTAAATATAAAGCGTGTGTCTGTAAAAGATAATGACTCTTGTTTTAAATAACCACCTCTGTGCTGTTATCCAAGTGCTCATCTTTGAGCCTGAGGGCTGAGGCGCTCCTTTAAGATATGCCTCCGTCAGGCCCCACTCCTATCATGCAGGACATCATGGGGGCACTGAAATCTTACATCATGTCCGCTTCATCACTGTCCCACCTTCTCCCAGTGGCCTGCTCTGGGGGGAGGTGGGGAGAAGGTGGGAACCAGCCTCTTAAGAGAGGCTTACATGCAATAAATAGACTTACAAGTCAGACTGGTTTGGGATTCCAGCTCAGTGGCCTTGAGCAAGATGTTTAACCTCTCTGTGCCTCAATGTCCTCATCTAAAAGCTAAGGTAGTTAATAGTACATGCCTCATAGGGTTGTTATAAGGATTATATTTGCTAAAAATAAAATGAAGCTCTTGGAACAGTACCTAGCATCGATGGGACGTACCATGTATTTGCTTTTTTAAAAACTCATCCTTTGCATTTACCATTTCCAGGAACATCACTTACTTCCTCAAATTAACTGACAAGCAATAACCCCTCAATACGTAGAGCAACGTATGTATTTCTCAAAGCACTTTCATGCACATTATCAGGTGCGATCTTGCGACGACCTTGCCACAATCTACGAGGGTTCTAGGCTGGGCGATTCAGAGGGGTAAATGCAGAACAGTGCAATGCACGATTTTGCTCCAAATAGCCCTCCTTATGATGGGAAGAAGTTAGAACCAAGCCAAAGGTCTAACAACAGGAGCCTGGTTAAGTAAAACGTAGCACATGTGTGTTCTGTCATCATAAATGAGGCAAAAGAACATTTCATACCATAAAAAGTATCCATGCTGAGTTAACTGAAAGAGAAAAGTTACAAAAAAGTAATTAGAGTAGGAATCTATTGTGCTTTTTTTCTCCTTGTGGTGTATTAAAAAGACCAGAAAGGTAACATCAGAATATTAGTGTTTGTTACTTCTCAATGGAGCAACAAAAAGTCATTTTCTTTTCTTCTTTGTGTTTGAATTTTCTGAATGCTACATAATGAACATGTATTATACATCCAAAAGGAAAGGTTCTTGTTTTAAAACAGGGTACATACTTGTATGTGCAGGGTGATTCAGGCCTGTAAAAGATATGTGAAAACAGCAACACGTTGATGGGAAATTGGGGGTGAGTTTTTTTTTAATATTTTTTTCAGGCTTTCCAGCTTTTCTTCTCTGAGAGCAATATCTTGTTTTTAGGAAGATGGTTCAGGTTGGGAAACTGAGGCACAGATGGGCAGGAAGGCTCTCTGGCTCCACACACATCCTGCCCAAACTAGAGCAGGTATGGTCAGTCCTCCCTAGGGATGCCCCACTTTGGGGTTCGCCCCTGGCCCTTGACTTTAGGCCAGAAGCTAAGTGACCATCACATAATTTCAGTGTGCAGTCTCTGGACCTCTCCTCTCATTCTTGACAAAAGAACAGCAAGAAGCCACAGGAAGAGAGAAGACACGGGCCGTGGGGCCCTGTGTGCGTTTGGGACAAGGGTGGGGATGCTCGGCACCCAGAGGCACCATCTGGCCGTCTGTAGGGGCGGAGCCAGTCCTCAGCTGGGCCTCACTGCAGCTGCGCCTCTCCAGGTCCCCAGACACAGCCATCGCCCCCTCCAGATGCCAGCTGTGAGGGAGGAGTCAGCCTGGAGGCAGGAGTGTCCATGAGTGATAGCAGGCAGGCCGCCCAGTCAAAGATTTTGGGCCTCCCTGATTACTTCCCCAACAAGTGCGTCCCGAACAAAATAAAACAGGAACAAAAACAAACAGAGGCAGGGAACAAAAAAGAAAAGGGAAAAAAGAAGAGGTCTCTATAAAACAGCAGTGGTACATTTACACAATGGAAGACTACTTAGCCATAAAAAGGGAAAAAATTTTACCCTTTGGCAACAGACTGGATGAATCCGGAGAATATTATGCTGAGTTTGACATAAGCCAGTCAGAGAAAGACAAGTATCACACAGTCTCACTCACATGTGGAATTTAATGAACAAAAGAAGATGAAGCAGTTGGATTTCATGGCAACCCAGGAGACAGCAGCAGCAGGGAGGGGGAGTGGCCCAACCGGCACAGCTGTGGGTTAGGTCATGGGCTCAGAGTTTCTACTTCACCCACTGCCTGCGGCTGTGTGATCCGAGGCATGTTTGTCCCCCTCCCAGGCAACTCCCTCTGCAAGAGGCAGCTGTCACCAGAGGGGAGGAAGGTCTCCTTGCTCCTGGAGGGGTCCCCAGTGCCTGTCTGCCCTGACACCTGCAGAAGGAGTGGTTGGCAGGGCCTTCCTTGCCTGTGCCTGTTGGATCCGGTTGTGAGGGCAGATTGCTGTGCTGTCAGACTTGTGCTTCCAGATCTGCAGGCCAGGAAACAGCACCAGCCGGGGCTGTCGCACACGGCAGCTCGAGCTGGCCTGGCAGCTCCTGGCCTGGCCTTGCTCTGTGAATGGACAGTCTGGACCGTCTTCAGGGCAGTCCACTCTGAGTGGCCGTGGCCACCCTCCCAGGCCCATGCTGCCCAGGAGGACATTCATATCTCTTTCCATCGACCTCAGAGTAAAATGAACTTTAGGTGTTTTTTTTCCCCAGGTGGAACGGAAGCAAAAAAATAGTATTGGTGGCCTATTGCCATTAAAATTACACACATGGCCTGGCAGCCGTAGAGATGCCCCAGTGTGTTTGAAGGTAGCCACTTACCTGACTCTGGACAAAGGGGAGTCTCTAACAGTGATTTCAGGCGAGAATATGGAAGGAGAACAACTGAGGATGTGGATAGTGGGAAAGGATCATTATTTCTTGTGCACTAGCAGTCTACGTTTTCCTTCATTGCTATTGAGATCCCACCAGATCCTTCCATTGGTGCCCCTTTGGCTTTGCAAACTGATTGTGGTTTAGGTGCACCCCTCTGGGCCTGGCACTGGGCGAGGTGTGCAGGAGGATACGACAGAAGGATAGGACTTGGTCCTGGTGATCCCAATGCAGAAGGGATGATAAAATCACACACGGCTGACCATGCCCAGAACAGGTGAGCCTACAGTTCTGAAACGATCTGTGACACAATCCATGGGTATGCTCACTCCAAATTAACACCAACCCCAAGCAAACCATACAGGCAGAATCCTAAAATGCACCCCTGTATGCTTTCTATGGCCCCGGCTGTTAATGCATGTGCTGTGGGGGTAGTCTCTGCCTTAGACTGCAGGAGACATAGGGTGGCCACGCAGTACCAGGCCTGGGCACTGCGGGTGTACATCATGTCCCCCTGTGAGCAACATCAGCTGGGCCTTTAAACATGTGTCTGGCAGTGTTTATGTGTGTCCCACCCTGAGGACAGCTTAGAATAGAGAAAATATGTACTGGGACCCAAAATGCATGTCAACAGATGCTAGCTGCTTCCGGCAGGGTCCAAGTGCAGGCCTCATACCCCACACATCCACCTTTCATTTACTGGGCGTATTCTTGTAATTGACAAACTCTCTCTCTCTCTCAGATCCAGCTCAAGACTCACATCTTCTACTCCTCAATGGTGTCTCCAACTGCTCTTCCATTCCAAGTCATTATTCTTAGAATAGAACTAGTCAATGACTCTGTTGAAGTCCATAGGGTGTAAGAGGTGGATACGTCTTTGAGCCCCACCAAGGTGTCTGCACAAAACTGACAATCCTGCCATCAGGAAAAGACTGGTAAACACCACTCGAAGAGTAGTGATTTTCCATGGCTTGTCGCTTACTTCCTATTAAATGAGCCCTCATGATCATTTGCTTAACGGCTTTGCAAAGCAGGTGGATCAATACCTAATGAGAGCCATGGCGTGCGCCTTAGCCTATGCCAACTAGATTTTTGTATTAATCGTTCAAAACCATTTTCATCAGCAAACGTGTAAGATAGGACAAGGGTCTCAACGTCTGGGCGATTCTTGCCAAATGTTACAAAGTAGCACCGTATTTTGCAGGTGCAGCTGTGAACAGGATGAGCTAGACAGGAACCCAACAGGATTACGTGTAGCCGGCTGCAAAGAGAAATCAATGTGTGGTTAACCAAACAGTGCATAAGCTAATGCCTAAGCCTCCCTTCCGGAGGCCGAGCTCTGGGTGTGAATCCCGCCTTCTTTACTGGCTGCAAGTGAATAAACTACCTACCAACCACCAGTTCAGTAACAAAAGGATTACAATCAACACAGTATTATTACAGGCAGTCATTTCATAGTCAGCGGCAATTCCAGGCAGATAATGTGTGAGATACATATCATCTTTGTGACTAACAATTATGCAAAAGCAGAACTACATCCGAGAAATATCACAAGGCTGAAATCCACATGCTAACTCCCTCCGGAAGAAGAATAAGCAAGTCTGAATTTTCTTTCTATTTACACATCTGGTCCCAAAACGAAGGATTGATGTGTTTGTCTTGCTATATGACCTATAATTATAAACTATATCATGCATATGAAGCTGAAATATTACATTATGTGCCCCAAAGATACATATTTCTATGTAGACCTCTCCATCCACGACAAATACTAGTATATAGCTGAACAAATAATTCTTTTTTAAAAAATATATATTTTTTTTATTTTTACAGAGAGGAAGGGAGAGGGATAGAGAGTTAGAAACATCGATGAGAGAGAAACATCGACCAGCTGCCTCCTGCACACCCCCTACCGGGATGTTCCCCCCGACCAAGGTACATGCCCTTGACTGGAATTGAACCTGGGACCCTTCAGCCTGTAGGCCGATGCTCTATCCTCTGAGCCAAACCAGTCAGGGCTGAACAAATAATTCTTTAGTAGAATAGAAGTGAACACAGGTAATCTGCAAATTCTTTCCACTTGGCTAAGTATATTAGTCTTTGTGTCCTATGTACTAAGTTCACTTCCTTCTTAGATCCATTGAGGGGAGGTCAGTCTGAATTGGTGGAAGTCTGATATAGAGATTTTAAAATTTACTTTAAAATACATAACAGTTCCATATCCCCAATATAACATGAGGTCTTGCCTCACCTGGCCTACTTTAGTATTGGCATTATTGGTTACTTAAAATGATTTTCAATTCAAATATACAAGAGCCAGCCAAGTGAAGCAACTATGGCTTCTGCTTACAGTGAATCACTGAAAGATAACATTTTAAATACTATAGTTTGTTTTCTTAAATAGGTAAACAGTGCTTGTACCAGTTTCCTGTGGCTGCTGTAACTGATTACCACAAACTGGTGGCTTAAAACAACACACATTTATTATCTTACTGGAGTTACGGGGGCCAGAAGTCTGAAATCGGTTTCACTGGACAGAAATCAAGGTGTCTGCCAGGAGGAGGCCTGGGGCTTTCGGTGTGTTTCCTTGCCTTTTCCAGCTCCTGGAGGCGAGCTTTATTCCTTTGTCTCCCAACCCCTTCCCGCCACCACTGCACCCTCCTGCTTCCATCCTCAGATCTCCTACTTCCTCCTCACCTTGTTGCCTCCCTCTGGAATATTTAAGGTGCACCTGGATAGTTTTGGCTAATCTCGCCAGCTCGAGGTCCTGCATTTACCATGCCTGCAAGTCCCTGTTACCAATAAAGTAACACAGGTTCCAGTGATTAGGACATGGGTATCTTTTGGGGGGATACTATTCAGCCAACCACACTGTTCATCTAACCTTATCTACAGGCGCCTTCTTGTAGAGCTGAAGCAATAATTGTGTCTGAGTGGAGGTTGACGACAGCGCTGGATTGGCAGTGAAGAGACCCGAGTTTGAGTCGCACTCGGCCACCGAGGCAGTAGGTGGGTGGCTGGGAACAGATGGACCTGCTTTGAAATCCTGGCGCTGACGTATTAACCAGGTAACCTTGAGCAAATTGCTTACCTCATTTGGGGAACAGCCACACCTCCTAGGCCGGGTGGTCCCTGGGACTAAATGACTGTGTATGAAGTGCGCAGCTGCTAAACCCAGTGTCCCTGCCCAGCCCACGCCACAGGGATGAAATGATGCCTGTGATTCTTTTTTAATTTCTAAAAGTTAAAAGGGTCTCACAAATATAAGTTCATATGATTATCATAGACAAGGTCAGTTCAGTCCATCCATCCTCTGCTCATTTTTCTCCTAAACTGAGAGCCAAGTTTAGGCCTCAGAAAGCAGTAAGTCTCCGTATTCTGTGAAGGGCTGAGTGAAGATAAGGAAAGAACAGTGTTAGGTATAAAGGGTGCAAAAGGAAAGAAAAAAAACATTTGAGAATACAGGCGTATGGGGTTTTATTGTTGTTTTTAATTTAAAGGTAGCCTGAGAAAGTACTCTTTCTCTTGTTTTAAATATATTTTTATTGATTTCAGAGAGGGAGAGAGAGAAACATCAATGATGAGAAAGGATCACTACTGGGGATCCAGCCCGCAACCTGGGCATGTGCCCTGACTAGGAATTGATCTATGACCTCCTGGTTCATAGCTAAGGCTCAGCCACTGAGCCACACCGGGCAGGCAGGCATGTGGGTTTTAACAAATTAGGGAGGATTATTAGAATTCACCCGTCCCCCACTGGGTATCACAGCGGATGGTTTCAGCAAAGCCAGTCCTGTTTTGATGGTCATTTCAGTGTTCACGCCTGTGAAATGGACATGGTGAAGAGGATCTCACCCAGCTCTAATTACATACAAACAGCAACTACATACAAGTTGAGCCAATGCTTGTGCAGTGTCGTGTAAATGGTATTGTGCTCTACAAACCCAAGGTGGCCTCACAACCAATTGTTAGGAGCCACGGTCGGGAGGGGCAACGATTTTCTCCCAGCTTCAAAACGTGCCTTCTGCATCAGCACGGAAACAACAGGCAACACAACCAAGAAAAAGACTTGGCAACCAAATAAACAAGCCGCTCCTCATCTCCCTGCCTCATTGTCTCCCGAACAACAACGCAAACACTTCCTCCTTTAGGACAAGGTGCCTGGAAGGCAAGGCCCCTGCCAGACCAGGTCAGTCCCTCATCTCTAAGCCTCCAGTGTCTCCTTCAGTCACTCCTGCAAACTCAGACACGGCTCCTTATTTCTAAGGAAAATGGCTTTGAAATCGCTCTGCCATTAGGGCACCCTGCAGTGCTCTGGAAATGAAAGGGTCAGAAGCAACCAGCTTGTTCTTCCTTGAGCCCCGAGAACTAAGGAGAACCCACACCAGGATGAAGCTCTCTGAGTTTTGTCAGCTACAAAGGGATGGAGAAGCAGAGGACTCCGGCCCTCTCACTGGGCCCATTCTTGGGTGTTAGTCCTCTTCTTAGGAAGAAAACAGTGTTCTTCTAAGGGTCAAATGTCATGGTTTGCTTTTCTGGTGCTGCCTGTTTTCTCTGACTATTTTCTGGGATGGTCCTAATCCCTGGGCCTCAGTGTCCCCATTTTCTCATTAGGTGGGGTGTGCAATTGATCAAGAATTAATAGGATTTCTTCCCTTGTAATCCTCATTCTACAGGGAAGGAAACTGAGGCCCACAGAAGGGAAGTGACTTGGCAGAGGTCGCACAGGTGTTAAGTGTGAATTTCTGGGTGTCTTTGTTATGTCTCCGCAGCCAGTTCCTCAGCAATTCAGGGGCAGGGCTGTGGCTGGCCTGCCTTTTGAGACCCTCCAGGTGCCCCAGCCCATAATGGTGTTCAAAAGATGCTTGCTAATTGGGAGGACTGACTAAGGAATCCGGGTCTGGTGCATTGGGGTGAGGAGAAGATGTTGGGTGTTTCAGACTGTGAAGCAGGTGTAGGTGGGGTTCCGGGCAGCTGCTTACCAGCTGGGTGGCCTTGAATAAGTTTCTTGACCTAAGCCTCCATTTTTTCACCTATAAGATGGGGATGGCAGTACCTACTCCACTGGTTGGAGGAGCTCATCAGATTTAATAAGCCTAATATGCTCAATAGGTACTAGCTCTTTTTGTTGCAGTTATTATAATTGGGTAGGGCAAGCACAGGGCGACTGGGGGAGCGGAGGAATAATGACAATGTAATGGAAAGACGCAGGAAAGCCCAGGACAGCCAGCCTCTCCCTGCTGCTCCTGCGGTTGGGAACATCGAAGGACTAGAGGCAGCTCCGGTGGATCTGGTAGAGAAGCGGGGGGATGTGGGGAAATGAAGCAACTCCAGGTCCTAGTGCTGAAAGGACCTTTTAACTTTTTTAAAATTTATTGAATGATTTTAGAGAAAGAGAAAGGAAGAGAAAGAAACATTGGTTTGTTGTTCCACTTATTTATGGATTCATTAGTTTATTCTTGAATGTCCCTTGACCAGGAATTGAACCAGAAATCAACTACCCAGCCAGGGCTCAAAAGACCTTTGGCTCAAACACCTGCAATTAGCCTGGGAGCCCCACCCCATCCACCAAATGGGCAGGGCAGCCCCTCTTGCTTCCACTCTGGTCTTCAGTGGCAGGTGACCCTTTTAGACACCTCTGACACAGTGTTCAGTGTTCTGGGTTCACCTGTGAACAGAGGGGCGTAGGGCAGGGGCCACACTCAATGTAAGTTCCCTCCTAAAACAGATATTCCCCGGCAGCTGGCTCTGCCAGCATGTCAGCCTGTGATTGGCTGCCAGCTCCGGGAAGATGCTCAGAGAATGAGGCCCACAAGGTTCAGCTGGGCCCTGGAGATATGAAGGGCCAAGCATTCAGCTGGGTGGGCCACTCTGCTGGTGGAAGCGAAGGGAGGCCGTCGGAGCCATAGCGGCTGAATCCCTTTCTCACGTGGAGGGAGGAGCGGCAGAGTGATTGCTTGCAGAGAATTTTTGAGGAACTCTCATCTCTGGGGGCAAAACATATCTAATAATACCGAGGTCAGCTCAGAAAACAGTTCCCAGCAGAGTGGCCCTGGCTGACAGGCGAGGTTCTTCCAACTCCTGGAGAAAGAAAAGATTCCTCCTTGCCCAAACAACTCAGCCAATGGGAGACTGCCATAGTTTAGCCAATGACAAGTCACTATACTTCAAATTTTCATTTTGCTCCATTTCATTCTTCCTTTACAGCAGCCCCTCCCAAGTCCATAAAAGAGCTTCCTCGCCTTTGTTTCTTTAGATTTAGCCGTGGTTCGCCGTTAGACCACATATCCTGAATTGCGATTCTTTGTTGTTCCTGAATAAACCCATTTTGCTGGAGAAATATCTGACTGTCTATTTGTTTAAGGTCAATGTTATCGAAAGTGGCCCATAGAGAAGGCGGAGAAGGTGACAATGATAGAACAAGGGGATTTTTCTGTTTCTTTTCCTTGAAGTATAATTGGTATACAATGTCCATTAGCTTCAGGTTTACATCACAATGATTTGATAAGTCTAGTTACCACCTGTCACCATTCAAAGTTATTACAATATTATTGACTATACTCTCTATGTTGCACAGTACATCCCCATGACCTTTACATTTATAGCTGGAAGTTTCTACCTCTTAATCCCCTTCACCTATTTTGCCCACTCCCCAACCCCTCCCCACTCTGGCAACCACCAGTTTGCTTCCTATATCTATGAGTCTGTTTCTGTTTTGTTTTGTTTATTTGTTTGTTTATATTCCATGTATAAGTGAAACCATACAGTATTTGTCTATCTATGTCTGATTTATTTCACTTACATAATACCCTCTAGGTCCATCCATGTTGTTGCAAATGACAAGATTTTATTCTTTTTATTGCTGAGTAATATTTCATGTGTATATGTACCACATCTTCTTTATCCATTCATCTATTAATGGACACTTACATTGCTTTCAAATCTTGGCTATTGTAAATAATGCTGCAATGAACATAGGAGTACATGTATCTTTTTGAGTCCGTGTTTTTAGGGTAAATACCCAGAAGTGGAATTGCTGGATTGTACGTGGTTCTATTTTTCATTTTTTGAGAAACCTTGATTCTGTTTTCCATGGTAGCTGTACCAGTTTACAATCTTACCAACAGTGTATGAGGATTCCCTTTCCTCTACAATCTCGCCAATACTAGAACAAGGGGTTTTCTCTGGTTGGGGTAGCCTGAAGAAGAATGAGTGGAGAGAAGGCCCCCTCCCTTCTCTCTGGGGACTTCAGGCAGCATGGGAGAGACCCACATCCTGGGATGAACTTTTGGGGCCTGGGCTGCCTCCATCTGGGAGGGAATGTGTTCCACCTGACAGTGAGTGACAGGCTGGGAGCCCCTGCCCTGGGTGGGGCCTTCAGGCCCTTGAATAAGGGCAGTAACTTATCAGTCTGGTCTCCACCTACCCCAGGAGGCTGCCCAGAAAGAGATAAGCTCAACTCATCAGTCTCCCTCTCTTAGAGCACGTCGTTTTTATTTTAAAATAATTGTACATTTTTCTATTTATAAATAATAAATGCTTATATTTGAAAAACATAGAAAAATCAAAATAACATTTACAATTACCCTGGGTCTTACCACCCAAAACAATCACTCCTTTGTATGCCAAGTTAGTTCTAGTGCATTATTTTTTGCTTTTTAAAAAATAATCTAGTTGTATTCAGAATATGATTTTACTCTACTTTCTCATTTGACATTGATTCATAAGCTGTTGCTATTACAGACTTTATATACACCATTTTAAAAGTCCACCTGAGGTTGTAATGAGATGATGTGCTTTCACCTCATCTTTCCTGCCTGTTGGACTGCTTCCAACTTTGCACTATGATAAATTGCATCACATTAACATCTTGGTAGGCAGCATATTCTATTATTTGAATTACTTCCTTAGATTAAATTCCAAAAAGTGGAATTCATGTAGTTAAAAGGGTATGAACACTTATAAAGCTTTTTATACATGTATT